TGAAACAAATAAGTAAAGACTAATTGACATGTTAGTTGGAGACTGATTAAACTGTATAGGATGATGGGCCGACGGGCATTCCTTTAAATATTATGATTTGATATTATCCTCTACTAATTCACTTGATACATTAATTGAGAGTTATAAAAAGATTATTATTGTGCCGACGGGCAATGAGTGACGACTCTATTTACTGAGCCAACGATTTACTAATACTGATACTAACACTAAAAAACACCGCGATAGTCAGAACTTCTTACTTGTTTAGTGTGATTAGTTGAATGCATGTTTTTGAGGCATTTTTTTATTGTATAGATTTATTATTACTACATAGATTTATTATTATTACATTATTCTATTACTCATGTCATTGAATTATTATTATTACTGATTTAGATACTGATATTATTTAATACTAAGCACTGCACTGATACTAAGCACGTGATATAGAATGCCTAGATAACATGTGTACATTTCTATATGATTTTATTACATTGATTTGATTTTGACAATATTTTGATTTGATATTTTATATAATTTCTATACTGATTGATATTATTGATACGATAATTGTTTTATTGATTTGACACTCATACTAGTTTATAACTCTACTAACTTTCGTATCGTATTATTTTATTATTTATATATTCAACTACTATTGTATTTGAGATTTACTATTTATGCATTGATTCAATGATCATATGAATGTAACTACTATGATTTGACTGTTAACATATATATTGCTCATTTACCGTGCTTTGAATTCAGTTATAGGTTTTGGTGACCTGCTGGGCTTTTTAGCTCATTATATGTAGTTAAATAATTCAGGTTAGGGTAGGGGAGCAGGAGTGTGAGGTTGGTTAAGATTTTTTCAGGTTCTATTTATTTTAGTTATTCTTTTATACTTAGAATATAGTAGTTATGATATGATTGTATAGATCCTATGTAGTGTATATGATTTTTAGAAATGAATATAAATGTGTACATTGACATTTTAAATTATATAATATGTTTTGTTATTTATTACTGATATATGATATTATATAGTTCTAACTATTATTTATTAAAAGTTAAATGAATAATTCTTTCAAATTAGATTCTGGGACATCACAGTTGGATTGCAGTTTATGATATTCTAACTGGAGGATGATTTCTTCACTATTTAGCAGCAAATAGAGGTCATCAAGATGAATAGGTTCGAGTTTGGTTCGTATGGTTGTTTTGAAGGATTGAAAGGAGGATGGGATGTCATTGAGGATGTAGAGGACGATATCCTCAGAATCGATGTGGCATCAAGCTACTTCTTGTTGGTCGATAACTAATTTGATGTTTGTTAGAAATTGGGTCATTGTGCCAAAGCCCATTGAGGCATTGTGGAATTCATTTTTGAGCTGGATTATTCTTGTGCGATTGGTGGATTGGAGCCTTTTATTGAGAGTGGTTCAGATATAATGAGAGGTCTTTAAAAAAAAAGGTAAAGTGAGAGGAATCTAGGGAGAGGATGTGAGGGAGGATGGTTGGTGAGATTGTGGAGTATAGAGCAGCACATAGGTTTTGGTCTATTAATTTCTAGAGGTTGTGTTCTTGATTGAGAATGGGTTGGTTGGAAGAGTCGAGTGCAAATTGGGGTGGGAAAATGGAGGTTCCTTCTATGAAGGGAAGAAATGTGAGACCTCGTTCCCTTACTGTTCTTCTCTGGCTTGGATTTTCCTCCCAGAATCGTCCGGGGAGATAGTGAGATCGGCCAGGCCGATTTGCACTGTTCAAAATACCGTCTTGAGATAAGTTCTGGGAACCGTCTAGGACGATCGATTTTGGTCTGATCGTCCCGGGACGATTTGGCGATCGGCCGGGCCGATCAGACTAATGATATATGAAAATCAGCTCGTTTTGAGGAGAGAGAAAATCATTTTAAAACAAAATATCTGATTTTAGAGAGAGAAAGAGAAAGGGAAAAGGGGAAAAGCTTGGTTTTGGAGGCCGCGGAGCGCTTTTCCGTCCGAGCTGCTGTTGGGAAAAGTGAAGATCTCGTGGTAAGGGACTCGCGAATCCTATTTCTGGTTTTCAGAGATATTGTATTTGACCGGAGTTGTGGGCATTGTTTTTGTGTTTTCGTAGTCGAAACTTATTGACATGATTTTTGATTTTGGCGACAACTTTCACATCCGCACAACTTTTAAGTATGTTATAGATATGATATTTGTAACACGATTGAGTTTTTCTGGCGAAATGATTTTACCAGGTTGGAAATTAGATTCTACGCGATTTTTATCGAATAAAAAATATAGGACGTGATTTGATTTGGTTTCTATAAGAATAATAGTCTTTGTATTGATGATCGTGGATATTCTGCCTGTATTTGGAAGAATTTTGGAATTGTGCCTTTTTGGGCAGGATTTTTGTGTAAATTTGAAAACCGCTGCCGTTACTCTGCCCATTTTTCCGTACGATTTCTAAAATTTTCCCGGAATTGATAGAATTGATTTGATATGCGTATGACTATTGAAGTATGATTGTTCTAGGATTTTCTTTAAATACTGGCTTATTGCATCGAATTAATTGCTTGAATTGATTGTTAAGCTGAAGACAAGTTGGGGACCGTGGTTGAACGTTGGTTGAAGAATAGACTTGACCTGTACAGGATGGTGGGCTGACGGGAGCTTTCCTTTAAAATCATAGACCATAGATCATCGATATAACGATTGGGAGTTTATAAGGAAGTTTTTATTATGCCGACGGGCGGCCGGAACGGGCAAAAGAGTGAACGAACTCTTCTTGATAGAACCAAACGTTGCGGATATCTACAACAGTATATGGATTCTACAACAGCACTATTGAATAATAGCTAGTGTTGTGCTTGTGCGAAGTAAGACCAATTGGTAAAATGGAATTCGGCATGTAATACGATATTTGCATCGTATGGATTTCCTGATTGGCATTGATTTATGGATTTCCGATTGAATTTATTTGATATTGATGGATTTATGAATTGGATTTATTATCGTACGGATTCCATTGATTTCATATGAGCATGGCTACTATTGATTATTGATTATGACTTGATATGGACAAATGGACGGCATAGATCATAGACTCATTGATACTATTAGATCCTGCATTGGATTTGATTTGCTACTATTGATTTATCGTATTGCTTTTTCGATTGATTTGATCGACTTGATAGTATAACTGGATTTGATTGATTGATAGATTTGACGAATTTATTAATTTTGAACGGAATTTATGACTGATTTTATGGATTTTTAAACGGATTTTTTTATCATTTTCGATTGTTATGTTATTGTTCATAGATATTGATATGGATTCTGGCGTATTGATTACATAGAGATTGACAACTGATATTGATATAGATTGTATGATTGATAGAATACGCGACAATCGCATTGAATATGGATTATGATATGGACATATGGATACTATTGATTACGACAGATCTCGACATGATATTGATACATTGAATTCGTCGTACTGATTATCGATTGATTGGATTGAATGGATTGTTGCCGTATGGATTTTGGTTTATGCGTAGAAATAGATTTCTTTATGGGCTGATTGTATTGATTTCTATTGACCTGATGATTTCATTGTAATAGAATTTTGTTTTCATTGCTAGGTTGATTCGTAATATTGATTCGATTATTATTATGGATTTCCCTGCTGAGAGATAATAATTGACTGGAAAAGATGGCTTTAATTGATTGAGATGATTTCCCTACTGTGCATCGTAAACTGTCATTATATGAAATTGTCCTTGCTGCCCTGCGTGGTGTCCCATTGAATATTGTATATTGATAAATCGAGTAAATCGTATTGAATAATTGGATGACTGATTTGCAGAGTATTGACTTATTTGATAGATGATAATAGATAGCAACCGGATTGACTAGAGCGACAGCGATTGATGTGAATTGAATAAGTATTGACTGATAGAACACTGCTACGATGATGGTATTGACTTTAGAAGACACTTACTGATCTTGATTGGGCTGAGGCCGTATTGATTTTCGATGTTTTTACGCGCTGTATTTATTATTGACTATTGATGGAGTTATGATTATTGAATTTTGATTTCCGTACTGATTCTGATTTTCCCGCTGTGCGACTTGATTTCATTGACTATGGATTTCCGCATTGCAATGGGATTTATTGAACCAAATTGATTGACTTGATTTTATGACCGTTGCATATTGGGATAGGGCAATCGCGCGTGCTTTTGATTTTCAGTTGTAGGCTTAGGTGACCTGCTGGGCTTTGTAAAGCTCATTATATGTGGTTAAAATTTTCAGGTCCGAGCAAGGCAACTGGAATGGAGTTCGATCAGAATGTCAGACAAATCCTTTCACTATTGATTCTGGGGCATCACAAGAAACCCATTAGCGATAAAGATATTGGAGATTCTTGTGCTTCATAAGTGGTAGTTGTCAGTGGTGTGGGGAGTTGTGGCAAGAGGTTTGATGTTGCTCATCAAAAATTTTAGTGTAGGAGTGATGATGATGTTGGCGGACTGTTGGAGAGCGACATAAATCCTTTCACTATTGATTCTGGGGCATCACAAGAAACCCATTAGCGATAAAGATATTGGAGATTCTTGTGCTTCATAAGTGGTAGTTGTCAGTGGTGTGGGGAGTTGTGGCAAGAGGTTTGATGTTGCTCATCAAAAATTTTAGTGTAGGAGTGATGATGATGTTGGCGGACTGTTGGAGAGCGACATAAGTGTTGTTGTTTGATGGAGTAGAGGAGGCGGTCATTTGTTGGATGAGAGGGGGGGGGAGAATTCAAGAGAAGAATAATATCAAGTGAGTCACACTTTGATACGAATTAGAAGCTCAGAAATAAACAGAGGATAAATTACAAATTGAAAAGCAAGCTCACAGATTCTATATATGAACAGTATAACATGAGTATCTTGAGATATATGGACATTAAGTTCATGTTATGATATCCTGATATGTGGTGAGGGTGACTTTGAATTGTTATTGTTGTTTAAGAATGATATGGTGGGCACGTGACTGTAAGTGGTTTGCTACTGCTGTTAATGCTCTCCTCGCCTCTTCTCTGTCTGAGAAAATCCTCTGCTCCGCTCCCGCTCTTTCTACGCTCCCACTCTTCCTACGCCCAAATTCTGGCGCCACCGCTTTCGATTGCCTCTCCCGCACGCATTCGCAAGCTTATCGCCTCCCAGCGCGATCCCCTCCTTTCCAAAGAGATTTACGAACTCTCCTCCTTAATCCTCCCTCCCACTCCCTCCCAACTCCAAACCCTAATCCTCAAACTTGCCCGCGCCCGCCGCTTCTCACTATCTCTCTCTCTCCTCCGTCGCCTCCCCTCCCCTCCCTCTCTCTCCCTTCTCTCATCCCTCTTCCTTACTTTCTCCCGCTTCTCCCGACCCGACCTCTCCCTCTCGGCTCTACGCCTCTTCCCTTCTCACCTCCTCACCCCTCGCCTCCTCCGCGGCGTCCTTTCCGCCCTCTCGTCCCGCCCCTTCTCCCTCCCGGCGGCCCTATCTCTGCTCCGATCCCACCCCGATCTTCCCTCTTACAACGTCCTCCTCCGTTCCCTCTGCCGCGCTCGTCGCCTCTCCATTGCTATCCCCATCTTCCATCGTCTCCAACTCCATGGCATCTCCCCTGATCCTTCAACTTACCGCTTCCTCGTCCAGGGTCTCTGTCGCCGCGCTCAACTCTCTTCCGCTCTCTCCTTATTCGAAGAAATGCTCAATCGAGGCCTCATTCCGGATTCCCTCACCTGCACCACTGTTCTCAACGCCCTCTGCCGGAAAAAGCAGCTCCGGGAGGCCTTCAAGCTCATCTGCCGCATGAGGCTCTGGGGATGCGCCCCTGATATAGTCCATTTTAATACCCTTATCATCGGATTCTGCAGGGAGGGTCGCCCACTTAATGCCTGCAAGCTCTTGGACGAAATGCATGGCAATGGCGTTGAACCTGATTTGGTGTCTTATGCGAGTTTGGTTAATGGATTATGTGCTCGAGGGGAGCTGGCTAAGGCTAATGTTTATTTATTTGAGATGTTGGGAAAAGACCTAGTTCCACATTTCTCGGTTATCCATGCGCTCGTCAGAGGGTTATGTAATGCTGGAATGGATGAGGAGGGTTGTCGAATTGTGGAGGTGATGGTAAGGAAGGGCGTTATTCCACATGTGGAGACTTGGCTCTATGTTGTTGGAACAGTGTGTGAGGATTATAGTGGGGACGTGTTTGATGGGATTATTATGAAGATGGTGAAGGAGGATGTGTGGAGGAGGAGCACTAGGATTGTGCAAGCAGTTCCTCTTCTTGATGATGTAATTAACAGGCTGCGGCATAGGACATAAGGTGGAAAAGTTATCTTTACATGCTTGTTGGCATTGAGACAGTGCTAGTTTATCAAATGGAAGAAAGCTGATCTGATTGGAAGATAGTGATATTGTTATGAATGTTGATTATACTTATTTCAAGGAAACTCGGAGTAATTCTGTGCTGGAAGGTTCTGTTCATAATTTTGATGAAAACTAGTGGCAGTAAGCTAAGGTACTTGGGTTGCACCTTGTTTTTTCAATATTATCATTGTTTTTTTTTTTCCTGGAGTTGTATGTATGGATGCATGCACCAATGGTGTCCTTTGCTTCACCCTATTTATCTTGACTCTATTTTACTGGAGAAGTTATTAGGGTGGGGCTATGTATGTTTTTTTTTTTTTGGTTTTTTGGGGAGAAGTATAGGGCATAGCCCAATTTCATTGATAACAGAGAATAGTTCCAACTGTAAGAAAGAAGTAAAACCGCCTCAAACATTTAGAGGAAAAAAGAAGTTGTGACAAAACTTCCTAAACCAGCAATCAAAACAAACATTTGTAAGAGAAATAAAAAAGACTTTAACAAAAGACCAATAGATTCTAGACTCAGAAGATGCTATTTTTAACTGAACAACTTTTCTAATTCTATTGCAGACCAAAGTAGAGCATAGGAAATTCTCCCAAATTTCCTAACATTGTGTTCTCTCCATAAATAGTATATAGTAATTTATAATCATGTAATAAATTTTTTTGTTGAGAGAATTGAGATGGGGACCATCATAGATTGCTTAAAAAACCTGCATAATATTAGGTCTGAGGAGAAACGACCTAAACCAGGGGATAAAAATAGCATAATACGGAGAAGTCACATTCAAAGTATAGGTGAGAGGATGATTCCTCAGAAGAGTTGCATAAACCACAAGAGCAATCAATAACAATATTCCACCTCCATAAAACATCAGCAGTATTTAAACCATCAACCAAAGCCATCCAACTATATATAGAAAATTTGAGAGCATGTAGTTTATGCCATACAAACTTAGCCCAAGAAGGAGGGACAATATCCCTGTGATAATCAGCTATAAAATGTTTCATAGAGAAGCTATCCTTGTTTCTCCATCTAATGGAAGGAATGGGGTTCGGATTAATAATTATGGAGGAGATGGTCCCTCAAAACACAAGTTAGGTTCGTTCTTATCCATCAAGCAAGACAAAGCATCCATTGCCACATAGAATAAATATGGGATAGGGGGCAGCCTTATTTGAGGCTAAAAGTAGTATTAAAAAATCTCTCAAGAGCACAATTTAGACATATAGAGCAATAAACATTGTCCAAGCAAGCACTGATTCAATCAATAAATAAACAAGAGATATCCTTCTGCTCAAGCCTTTTGATAATAAATTTTCTAGATATAGTATGAAAAGCTTTGAAAATGTCAATTTTTGCATAGAAAAGCTTTTGAGCTAAAGGGTTTTTAAATTCACCCATAAATTCATTGGCCAAGGTAACATTATCAGATGAAATATGTTTCTGAATAAAGCCAAATTGGTTAAGGCTGATAATGCGTGGCATGATAGCTTTAGTCTATTAGCTAGAATATTTGAAATGAGCTTTTAAATGTATTGCATGGGGATATAGGCCTATAGTTTGAAAGGATCTGAGCTTGTTTTGATTTAGAATAAGAACAAGGGCTGTGGCTTTTGCATTTTTTGGTAAATATTTGTTTTGAAAGAAGTATTTAGCAGCTTTGCAAACTAGGCTACCCACTATCTTCCGAGTGGCCTTATAAAATTCAAAAGAAAAGTCATTAGGCCCTAGAGTAGACGAGGAAGGGGGAGAGAAGATAACCGTCCAAATCTCCTCATTAGAGATGGGTTGAATACGTCTAGTAGCAAGGAGAGGGGGAATAAAATCCCCAACTGGAATGAAAGCCAAATCATCATTAATGGGAGCAGGAGAGTTGAACAAGCCTGAGAAATGATTTATAATTGCTTGGAAAATTTTTGAGGGGGAAGAGAGCAAACCTTCCTGAGTAGAGATGTTAGGAATATCATTAAAATTCTTCCTTGATCTGAGCTTGGCATAAAGAAACTTTTAAGTCATCCTCATCATTTGACAACCATTTAACCTTAGCACGTTGCATAGACCAAGAAGCCCAAGTAGTAGAGAAACTAGCAAGTTTTCGTTGCAAAGCTTAAGGTCAACTTGAAGTTGATGGTTTATGGGGTCCCTATCAATTTGTTGAAGAAGGACCGATTGTTGTGATTGTAACTCCGCAAATTTGGAGGCCAAAAAAGATGATGAAGCCCATTATTTAGTTTTAATGCAATTTTTCAAGGCCTTCAACTTTTGATAAAGAATCATGATGGGGTTTCCAGAAAATTGCTGAGTGAATAAATTAATTAGAATACTGTAGAAATCAGGCTCCTTGAGCCAATAATTTTTTAAAAGGAAGCGGTGCTTTTTAGAATGGGCTAGAGAGGAGGATAAGTTTAAGGGGGAATGGTCAGAAATAGAGGGATTACTAACCTCGTAGAAGGAATGAGGAAAGAATTCCATTCAAAGATCATTTACTAAAACATCTATCCAATTTGATTTGAATGGGATTCTTAGCTCTAAGGTTAGGCCAAGTATAGAAATGCCCTTTTGATGGAAGATCAGTGAGCCTAGCATCAAAAATAAAATTGTTAAAATTCCTTAGCTTGCAATTAGGAATAGGGTTTACCTCCAGCTTTCTCATGAGAGAAATTACAGCAATTGAAATCACCTGTAATCAACCAAGGGGAGTCAATGTTGCGAACAAAATTCAGAATATCTTTCCACAGAGAACGCCTTTCCTCATGGTAGTTACTAGCTTAGATAACCGAGAGGTTAAACTTCTTTGAGTTCCATTCACCCAAATCCTCCCAGTGTTGGAGCAATCAAAATTTTTGCAGGATTCCTCATTGTCAAAGAGACGGTGAGAGGCAGAAAACCATTGATCAGAAAGAGAGAGAGAGAGAATTGATCTTAGCTTCCAAAATACAAATCATGTCAAGAGCTTTGAATTGGACAAATTGTTTACAACATAGGACTTTATCAGGTCCATTGAAACCCCTGACGTTCTAGGATGCAATTTTGGGGATGTTCATTGGGATTTAGAAGGCTGAGAGGCAGCCGCCTTTTTGGAACTTTTGGACCTTATGTGTTTGGGGCGCAATGAGGTTGAAGTAGCAGATTTTTTGCTAAAATTCAACCCAGAGGAAACTGGATCATTAAGGATATCCTGGGAGTCACCTTGCATAAATATTTCAAAAGGATTTTTTGATAAAATACCTTTAGAGGCAGCTGATGAACACTCGACAAGGGAGGTGGAGGCCAGTGGGTGAGCAGGGGATGAGGGATGTGGTATTGGAGCAGGTTCTTTCGACATGTAATTTGAGGGCGAGTTGACGTTGGGAATGTCTGAGATAGGAGGTTTGGAGGTAGAGGGGGAATTGGTAGAGGGATTGTCAAGTGGGTTAGAGGCCTGTGTGAAGGTAGAAGGGGGTTTGAAGGTCAGTGGAGGTTGCGGTGGAGGGTTTCTAGGCTTGCGGCTAGTGCTCCTTCCACGGGAATGAGAATGAGAAGGGAGTTAGGTAGGTTTGTTTGTAGGACATTGGGAATGTGAATGATTGCATGAACCACAACCTTCACAGAAGGAAGGTTTCCAATCGTATTGAACACGCAACAATATTTCCTCTCCCAAGACCGAGATGCAAATTTCATCAGGGAAAGAAGATTTGTTGTTAACTTGGACCCACACACGTGCAAATGTGAGTCTAGATCTTTCAACCATCAAAGTGTCAACTGACAGAGGGATACCAACATAGGTAGCAATTTTGCAAATACCAAGGGTCTTCTAGCAAGCTAAGGGAGGTCGTGGATTTTGATCCAAATAGAAATTGAGGAAAATTCATCACATTTAGGTTTAAACTTAGGAGATCATTTATGTAAGATTAATGGCTTGCCAAAGAAAAATTAAGGACCACCATGCGGCCATCTCGTAATCTTTAACATTAGAAAATTTCAGAAGAAAAAATCCCTCATTAAGAGAAAGGAATTTAGAGAACTTTTCAATGACCATGTTCGCTTGATAGTAGCAGCTAGGATTTCATAGAAAGACCTTTTACCAAGAGAGTAATCGACCAAAAAAATCTCCTCATCAGGAAGTCGAAGAACTTAGTCTTGAGGCTTCACAAACGAAAGAGAAAAATCTCTTGATGAAGAGCTTTTGGTGGTAACTAGATCACTCCAGCTGCGGGCAACTTGAGAGTAGCAGAGGCGGCTAGGGCAACCTGAACCCTAGTAGAGCACCTTTGATATGTCGGGCTATGTATGTAGCTCCACATCTGTGGCCAATGATTACATGGCATGCGTACCCAAATAAAGGATAAACCTAGCCCAATAAACTTGTTGATTTGACACGGCAAAGGTTCACCAATAAATTTTTTTTTTGGTTGAAATGAGGGCAAAGCCCCATTTTTCATTCTATAAAAGCGGAAGTACTAGAAGAAACACCTTAGCACAACTCACTAATGACTGAACATGAGTAGCATTAGCTGCAACAAAAAAATTTAGCATTGCTCGAACTTTTTAGAAAGATGAGAACAAAATAGAAATAAAAATGATACAAGGAGGGCAATGCCTTAGAAGAAAGATGAAAGTTGCAAGCTTCTGGACTTAGCCAAAAAGTCACCCAAAGTTCAACGTGGAGGCCCTATTGGGAACCCATTCTCAGGGACATCACTTAACTATCCCGGGATGGCCAATAATATTTCATTTAGTTGAGAAATTGAGTGGTTGGGTTGTGTTTTTCAAGGCTTGTAAGTCCTTCGAGGTCCAGCTTACTGAACTCATGACTATATGTCAAGTCTACTCGACCAGATTTGATCCATCCAATTGTGCAATTATTAGTTGCCATTCATTTGGGCTTGCCCAAATGGAGTAGCCCGGATTGTTGAAATATGTTACATTTGTGAAGATGCCTGAGCAATTTGTCTTCTATTAGTCGCCCAAAAAGCAGACGTGGTACTTTTCATTGGTAGCGTTTGATTGTTGCATCCGCTTGGGGAGCCTTACTTGAATCAAATTTCAGATAGATCTAACATGATACTTTTGTCAAATAACTCCTTTTCCTTTTTGCATGAACTGGTTTGATCAGTCATTAAGGAGCAAAGTTTTCCTCCCTCACTAAAGAACAACATAAGGTTCCATAGTCATAGTGTTCCTTCATTACAGCATATCAATTAATCAATGGCATGCTAACCGCTAGGTATTAAATATTTAGGAATTACGATCGGTCAGCTTCCCTGCGTTGAGGTTGAATGATCTCGCATTGAATCATATTCTAATATGTGCATGGAATGAAGTTCTGGCAGAACAGCTATTGTTGGTCTGCGCCATCACATTTGATGCTTGCTGATCCCTAAAGGGAATTATTCATGAATACTAGCCTTAGCATTCACACCAGAAATCACAGATCAAAATAACTGAGAACTTAATAATCAGTACATGCATGAAATCAACATGCTAACAAGATATAAGTTCAATGGTAAAATTGGCTTCAACCTGAGTTTATGAATTCCCAACTTGAATCATTTGCGAACTTATTTTTCAACCTGAAATTTTATTCAAACATCAAAAATTGATCCTGTGATGAATAAATTTGACGATAAACCCATGACAAATTTGTAGAACTCAACTTTTTTCTCTTCCCTTTAGTCTTCTTCTTTGTTTTCTTGAGCTTCAGCAGGCCCATCTCTTTTCTCATCCAAGCCAACGCCCCCACTGCTGCTGTGATCTACATCGCTGATCTTTCCTGTTTTGCCAACCAAGGATTTATTTCCATTGCTGTTGCTCGATGGAAATGAAGATAAAAATCTAGCCATGGTGGGTCATTGCAACAGGAGCAGTATTAGAATCTTCTAAGCATTCATATATTTGGAACAGGTAGTTAAATTAGGCTTTTTTTTTGGGTTTCTTTCTTACTATTTTTTTAAATCAATTTTTTAATAAAAATTTAATTTTTTAATAAAAAATTAATTTTAAGAAATAGGGAAACTTCAAACGTTTTAAATATGTAGTTTTTTTCAATTCTAATGTGTGGTTACAAAACTTTATTGCATGTCTCTGTCAAACTGAGCATTCTTTGTAAACCCTAAACTTTTTAGTGAGCAATCAGTAAGGTTAAGGGGCCAAATGGGCGTGTTGATGTTCAGGTTAGCTTGAATTGATTGGCACGTTTTTTTTTTTTTTTTTTCACGTTTTTTTTTTTTTTTTTTCTTGTCTGATTGAATTATATAGATAATATTTGCAAATGTGCTTAAGAAATATAATCCACTTGTTTGGCTGAACTTCGAAGAAGGGAGAATTGAATATTCAGGACAAACTCAGAATTTTGTCTGGATGGGCTTTTGAACCGATCAGATATTCTATTGTCCCTTTTCCGGTAAGAGGCCTGACGCCTTTTGTCTTTTTATATTTTTTCGTACTAATTTTATGAACAATAATTAATTTTAAATTAATTGCAGGCACATGCAATGTAATGATCACCTGCCGGAAAATTGTCGGCAGCATGTTTATTATTTAAATTTTGAATGATTTAGATTTAGAAAAAATTCAGTTCACGGCACACAAGATGCGGAGTGCTTCCGTAGTCTATTAGATGCGCATTAAGAAGGATTACGTAGCGAAAAAATAATTTATCAAGATTTTATTCTGCACTTTTTTTCATCATATTAAATACTAAAATTTTTAATTTTCATTCATTTGGAACATTTTACATCCTTAATGAACAAGTCACTGGTACTTTCAAAAATATCAGATATTTTGTTGAGCTTTTAATTTCTTTGTTTAAATAATTATAACATAAATTTAAAAAAATAATAAAATTAAATGTATAGTAGTTGTTAGATGATGGTCAACAAAAAAATTTATAAAGAACAAAAAGTTGGTGTTAGAATTGAAACACCTGTTAAAGCAAGAAATGATGAGTTTAGCAATCCATGGTCTTTAATATGATCATGTCAAAATATACTGAATGAATAAATATACAACATACTAAAAGTTTCAAATGAAAATTTGCTAGCAATCAAGATATTAAGTTTTTTATAACTTATGATTAAATAATCGCTCAAAAATCTTATAAAAAGTGAAATCATTGAAAATAGACATAGCGTAACGGTAACCTATTTGGACATGATCAACTTTCCTAACCGGTTTAGTCGATGAATTCAATTTTATGACCCTAAACTTCTCTATCTTTCTCTTCTTCCCTTCACCCCTTTTTCTCTTCTCCTAGCTAATTGAACTAATATAATGGACTTGACGTAATGTGTTTAGATATTTATAGAAAAAATATCAAATTTGGTCTAGTGTCGCAGCGCTCCTCAAGAGAGGCTTCAAAAACTTCCATAACTCAGCATCCTACTATCACTCCCTAATGTTGCATTGGTCCTCAAGGTGCCTCCATATTTATGTTTAACAAATAGAGAGCTTAGCATTGCAGTGATTTCACTCCAGCGCAACTACTGTCATAAGTGCCTACAACATATAATAGAGAGGGCAACACTTCAACACTGCCTTTATAGCACCATGATGCCCTCAAGAGAAAACTCAATAGTTTTCATTTCAAATTTTAATTAATGAATCCATTTTTAATCCAAATTAACTTAATCATGGCATTAAATATTTTTCAGAACATCATTAATGTCAAATGTAATTGTTGCGTCCTGGAGTATTCGTGATAGTAGATAAATGTAATATTTAACGTCTTAACTTTATACGAAAATTCGGCACGCAATCAGATCAGAGAGAGAGGATATAATATTCATTTGAGACACCAAGATTTTTACGTGGAAAATCCCTGAAAAGAGGGAAAACCCACGGGGCCTAGCCCAGTTTGAATGAATCCACTAGTATTGTAGTTGAAAAGTTGATTACAAATGAGGCCCTTCCTTTGGGGAAGGCATTGGCTTGATGTACATCATATGGAGTACATTACATGGTTGGAATATAAAAAATCATTGTTGACGTGTTAGTTTGGTCAGAAGGACCATAGTATGGTGATGGCGGTCAAAAGAACCGTAGTCGTCGGGCGACGGAGGTCACAAAGATCGTTGTCTAGCGACGAAGATCATAAGGACTATAGTCGGTGGGCGACATAAGTCAAGAGGACCGTAGTCGGCGGGCGACGTAAGTTAGGAGGACTGTAGTCGGTGGGCGACTGAGGTCAGAAGGACTGTAGTCGGTGGGCAATGTAAGTCAGATGGACCATAGTTAGTGGGCGACGTAAGTTAGGAGGACTGTAATTGGTGGGAGACTGAGGTCGGAAGGACTGTAGTCGGTGGGCAATGTAAGTCAGATGGACCATAGTTAGTGGGCGACGGATGTCGAAAGGACTATAGTCGGTGGGTGACGTAAGTGAGGAGGACCGTAGTTGGCAGGCGACAGAGGTCGGAAGGACTGTAGTCGATGGGCAATTTAAGTCAGGAGGAACGTAGTCAGCGGGCGACGGAGGTCAGAAGGATTGTAGTCGGTAGGCGACGTAAGTTAGGAGGACCATAGTCAGCAGACGATAGAGGTTAGAAGGATCGTTGTCTAACAACGGAGGTTAGAAGGACGACGTCATAGAGAAGTCCAATAATTGATAAAAATCCAGTATTGGACAGATGTCCGACTAAAATCCAACAACAGGCAGAAGTCCGGTGTCAGGTAGAAATCTGGCGACGAGCAGAGGTTCGTTGGGCAGAATTTTGGCGTCACTTGGGCGTCGAACAGAACTCCGGCATCACTTGGGCGTCGAACATAATTCCGGAGCCACTTGGTGATTAGATAGAATTCTGATGTCACTAGAAAGTTGAGCGGAATTCCGGTGTCACTTGGAAGTTGGGCAAAATTTCGGCTTCACTTGGAAGTCTGGCAGAATTTCGGCGTCACTTGGAAGTCAGGCGGAATTCCGGCGTCGTTCGAAAGTTGGGCGGAATTCCGGCAGCGGTGGTCGAGGAGTTTCTTCCCTCCTCATCTTCTCTTCTTCCTTCTCTTTTTATCTTCTTTCTTGGGCCCCCTCTCATGAGAAATGAGGAGTCTATTTATAGATATTCTGGAGTGGCATGACCCGTAAATAGATTAGCAATCAGGGGCAAATATGGAGTGGTTCGGATGGACGGTCGTTATTGAATCCTTTGATCGTGGACCGTTTATCAGACATTTGAATGTCTTAATGATGTCGGAATTCAGCGATCTTGGGATTGTTGGATTTTGCTGAATTCGTCTCATCAAGCCGCTCGATTCGACTATAAGCACGTTATGTTTGGAAACCGTTTGGTAACTAAAATTGTGGTACGGACTTTCCAACAGCGCTTCAGGGTCCTTGATTTGGACTCTGTTGACCTCGTTTTCGGCATCAGTCACTCTCACTATCTTGTCTTGCATTGTGTAGATTGATCCACCTTCTGGTATGTTGCATCGCGTTGTGTTAGGTGAAGGATCAAATTGCGTATTTTGCCCCGGCTCGTTGTCAGCCTTAGGATTTACTCCTTTTTGACCACATGTCTCATATTTCATTTTAAAATATGTGTGGTCGGGTCGATGACGATTCGGTGTGATTTCACGCATTTTGGCCTTTATCGTGCATGTTCATTCCGTGTGTAATATCTTTTGATTGAGACCTTATTTTGTGAAACGAATTACGCGAGCGCGTCCGGATCGCCAAGATCTTTCAAACGAGCTCAGTCGCGCTCTGATCGAACACCATTTCATGCATGTTGAGGAGAAATGCTAAAATTCTTATTTCTATTATTATCATTATTTTCAAATATATATAATATAAAAAAATACCTTTATTTATTTATTTATTAAATGAATATAATAAATTATATTTTAATTAAGATATGAATATGAGATAATAAGTTTATATAGTACAATAAAAATATATAATAGTAATCTCATTCAAATTAATTTTGTTTTAGACTTGAACACAAAATGACTTTAACATCACCTCTTTTAACCTTCCAAATCAAATATATATTATGGTTCAATATTCAAGAACCAGGATTCATGTAAGAAAAGAAATCCTTCTCTATTTGCTTTTGCAGGAAAAGACATCAAGAGGACAACAACTCATTTTTGCTTTTCAAAAAAAAAGAAGAAGCAAACTATTATCTCACCGTCTGATGGGAGGCTAAGTGATCTTTGGCCATTTTCTTTAATAAAAAAAATGGAATAAGACAAAAAAAAGGTCTTCAAGGTGGGATGAAAAAAATCTCTGGGATCGGCTCAGGTGATAAGCAGCTCTCATGAGTTTTGCTCGGAAAAAAAAAAAAGGATCCTTCTTTTTTCTCAAGGATAGCAGCCGGCCCTAGCTCCTTGAGCCTCTCACTCTCGGTTTTGGCAAGGCAAGAGGGAGAACCCCCTCCCTCTCTCCGACTCTTCTCAGTTCGCACAAGAAGAAGAAGCCGAGCCCCTTCCATTTTTTCGGTGCTGTCTCCCCTGTTCGCGACAGATCCCACGCCGGCTTCTTCCTTCGACGCCATCCAGCCCTAGTTGCCGTCCATTCTCCTTTGGCAAGGTGGTCTCCTCTTCTTCTTCTTTTCCTTCTTTTTATTTCCCTTCTTCCTTCTTTGGGAAACTATAAAAAAAAATAGTGATGAGTGATAGATTCATTTAGTAGGATCATTTATTGAAAGTTTTCTTTCCCTCTTTGTAATCTAGTCTTGATTGTTCCCTAGTTTTTTTTTATAAATAGCTTCAGGAGAATAGCTTTATGATGTGTTGACGATTTGTATATCCATTCATGTAGATTTATGTATTGGCTTATGTTGTTGGAAAGTGAACATTTGGTTTATAAAAGTTACATTTTGTTTATGATTTATATGCTGCAATCCAAAGTTTCATGTGTTTGGGTTGTGAAAGACTTTGGTAAACATGTCATTTTTCTAAAACAAAAAGAAGATGCATACAAGGTGTTTGAGTTAATCCTTGTTAAGGAGTAGTGCAAGTTTTCTTGAAAAATAAATAATAAGAGTTATTTTAAGCAACTGTAATTTCATTCTTTTCTCAATCAAACGCTTCATTCTCAACCATATAACACATTACCTCTATGATTATATTTCTTTAAGTACCATGCTTTAGGAAGTTTATATCTCATTTTTTTTTTATTATAGCTAAAATATGTTATCACTTGGATATACCTTATAGTTTCAAAATTAATATCGAATCATTCAAAGGAAGTTTTTGGGTTAAGTTGTATGTATATTTATCTCGTCGGGCAATAGAATTAATCATCGTAGACATTACATGAATCCCATCGCAATATTTCGGTTGCAAGCATGATTCGGCACATTGCATTTGTATGAACTCTTACTTGATTAATCAAATAAAATTTTATTTGTACGGCATTGAATAAATTCATATAGATGTTTTAGTAGAAGTGACTTGGAGCTCCTAAGCATTGTTTACAGTTAATTTGTGGAACCAAAGTTCACATTTATCTTCGAATATTCAAGCTTTCAATTCTTTTTCTTTTATCTTGAGCATGTCGTGCTTTAATGTATAAATATATTGTATAAAAAGAGTCTCTTTATGCTTTTATTATGAATCGTAATTGATCTCATATATGTATATATATATATATATATAATATATATATTAATATATATATATATTATATATATAATATATATATATAATATATATTATATATATATATATTTTTTTTTTTTTTTTTTTTTGCAGCAATTTCACTATAGCTTTCATGTTAGATTTTTGCGAATGTATTTAGTACGAGGGTTCATGCAGTCTTCATCCCTAATTGCCTACACCTCCAATATACCCTACTTATAAACCAAAACAATGACTTTTCTAGTTTTCCCGAGTTGTACAGCTAGGCATAACACATCTCCTATAGCCACAACTCTATTTCCAATTTTTCTGTAACAAATCCATTCACTTCCTCTTCGTCAATTTGCCCAGCACACTTCCTTCTTATACTTTTATGGCAAAACCCATTATGCATTTTTATTTTCTTTCCTTGTCAAGCCCAATTAACTCACTTGCATGTATTACCTTTTAGCAGTAGACATTTTGCCATTAGCGTTAAATGGATTTTTTTTAAGGGCGTGTAAATGTTTTATTCAATAATTGAGATTACTATTGTTTCTTTGACACCATAAGCAGCACTCAAATATTTTTATAAATGTCTAACATATTATTACTTAAAGTTCATATAAATGATGTATTTTTTTTTATGAGTTTATACGAAGATTTAAAAAAATATATATTAGAATTCCATTATCATAAATAAACATAATCTTAGGTTTGTAAATTCAATTTGTGTTGCATAGTATAAAAGGATATCTTCCATAAAGGCTATGGTTAATAGGAGCATTTCATGTTTGTTTCTTCGCTAAAAAATTTTATTTGTAGTGTTGGAAGAAAAATCAGATAAATCCAGGTTATGCCTATGCACTATAATAGATTATTACTAGCCTCGTCTTTGATACCCACAAATGTAATGTGCTTGATCCTGAATATTTATTAAGTTAAGATAGAGTCATCATTGTATAAAACCTCATATTAAGGTACATTTGAAATCGAATAGCGTCATATGAAAAGTAATTAATTCTAATAAATGCTAATCGCGATGTTTCCATCTTCTTATACATGTATGATATCAAACCCATAGTCGTCACACATGTTTGTATTTGTATCGAAGCTATATGTGTATTCCATGCCATTCGATAAAATGCTCACTTTATAATTTGATTAGTTGTGAATATTCTTAGTATGTTTTTGTTATAGTCTCATTAAAATAAGCATGTTGAGTAAAGTTTAGTGTTATAAATTATTTATTTATTTATTTATTTTATGAGTATCAATATGAACATGTTTAGTAAAGCTAAAAAAAAATGTATTACATGCATAAATATCATGTGTAGAATGAAATCATATATTTTGGCAAAGATATTTATGAATAGCTGAGTCATGTAATATAGAGCTGCATGTAGGTTGATTAGCTTTCATGTATTCCATGTATGTGTGAATAAACTAATAAAAATTTCATGTCTCAAATGCAACCCCTTTACCCATGCTAGTATGATTTTAGATATCTTATGTTTTGGTAGTTGTTTGTTTAATCGTTAGAGAAGAGAATTTTCATGCTTTACATGTGTGATTTTATTTGATGAATCAAATATGTACATTACCTCATGTCATCATCACTTGTTTATAATATCTTCACATGTATGTCATCTTTCTCTGTTTCTACGCATTTGAGATGAATTTTAAGTCATAAATTTTGCTCATTTACATCTCTTTAATTAATGACATGCATTTGATCGATGAATATGAATTACCTAGTAATTAGATTATTATCAACTTACTTCTCTTTTTGAATAGTGCCTGCTCTCACTCCATATTTGCCTTCTTCTTGTTATTTTGCGAGGAACATCGAGTTTTGGGTATGCATTGGTCGTTGATGGGTCGTTTGTATGGGAGCTTTTAAGTGGGCACGCCTGGGTCAGGTATACCTTGATAGTTCCTGTAGAGACTGCTCATTGTATTGGCGAATGGTTACACATTAGCACACACGTTTGACTGCTTTTATTTTCCCACCCAAATATGCTTGCTAGGATGTTTAGCTAGCCGGCCATAGGTTAGTCCACAAACGAAGCTTCGGCCTTGTGGGCCAAAGCTTGCTCCTTTGTCATGAAAACTAGAGACCCTTATTGGTCATTTTAGGTCTGTAGTGTAGGCCACCTATGTATGTCATATGCATCGTTTTTCCCACACAGAGTGGGCACCGCTAGGATGGTTTTCTTTGGTTTTAAAATGAGATTAAATAACTCTAAAAATTGTTTTTAATATTTTAGGCCTCTTAATGTATATTTCATAAGCATGCTAATAAATAAAATATAAGCTCTAGTATGTTAGGTAGTTTCTCTTGATTAGCTTCAATGATTACAACTCCTAAAAATTCTTTAATTAATCTATAATCTCTAAAAATTCACTTAACCAATATACAGCTTTAAAATCATTAATTACTCCAATCGAATCTTTAAAATATGTAAAATAAATCTCTAACCAACTCCTAATCTAACCATATATGATAATCTACATTAATTAAGGTGAAATTAAATTAAGATCATTAAAATATTCTCAACCAACCTTCTAGTGTTTAACAAAGCATTAAAATTATAATATTTGAATTTAAACTAAAGTCTCCTAATTGTAAACAACCCAAAATGAACCTATTGGAGGAGCAAAGGAATTTCAAGATATGCCTTAGTGCCTTAACTATATGGAATTTACATTCACCTTTGTGCTGTGCAAACGTCTATGTAAATTGCCCTTTTTTTAGAAAAAGTAAATCCATCTTTAGGGACTAAACCAACTACCTTAACCACCCAAGTGTTATAACTTAGGTCAAGTAGAACCCATGTACATCTCTATAGGTAGCGTGTCATTCCACTCTCATGTCAGCCTTTAAAAATAAATTTACCTTAGACATTGGAAGCTTTGGATTTTCTTTTCATGGTGGGTAATAAGCCCATCTTAGTGGTGTCACCCTTAGCCATTCCTCGAGTCTTAGATATTACCAAGGGAAGGAATAACCAACCCTTGCCACCTTTTAATAATTTCAGCCTTAATTAGGAGTAGGATTGAGGATGGGCCATTTGCCCCTCAATTCTTTATAATCTTAGCATAGGCTAGGGCCTAAGTCTTTAGGCTCTTGATAATTTAATAACTCAAATTAATCCCTAAATTAAGTTTTAATTAATTCATCTCAAATGATTAAGCACTTAAATGAAAACTTGAGGGTATAAATTAAACAATAAGAACTCGACCTTGTAAATCAAACCACTCACCTAATTTGGGATAGTTAGGTACACCTTTTTGCATACACTTAGGTGCTGGATAGGACACTTCTTTTATAGACATCCTAGGATAGGGTGTAGATAGGATAACCCTTTTACACTTTTTTTCTTTTACATTTTGCATATGTGATGATGTGATGTTTATTTCTGGCTTAGTTTTTCTTTGGTTGTTCTCCTTTCCTTTTTGATTGATGAGTGGGTGCTTGCCCTTAAGTGGTTAGATCTCTTTTTAGAAATATCTTTTTGCAGGTGGCCATATTCCTAAAGGGAAATATAAAAATGCTATCATCATAAATGTGCTCTTTAATAGGTACTGCGAGGAATGCTAAAAAGCCTCCTTGGGAATATGGCCCTAAGGACTAGGTTCTGGATGATGTGTGATTTTTTTTTATTATAATTGTGCTAATATGTATTTTTTGTAGGGGGTCAATGTAATTTTCTTTAAAATGTAATTTGATCTAAAGTGTTGTGAAAGCTTAAAAATGAGATATTTTATGTGTTAGGGATCCAAAGCGAAAAGAAACCCTTTATAGGGAATTTCTTATCATTTGGATATCCTATTGGATGGTGCAACACAAGAAGCCTGAAGGGAAAGAAGCTGAAGATAAATAAAATACCTCATTTTTAAGACTTGCGTCATTCCATAGGGATAGAACC